CATATCAATATTTTTTTTTTTTTTTTGTTCCGCGTTGGGTGGCTTCCACTATGATGCCTGTGAAGATCTGTGAATCTGTTGCCTGCACTGGCTGTTTTGAAAGGGGAAACTTCGCATAATGGCGTCATCTTTCACAGAGTATCTCTAAAATCAAGCAAAGGAAACTGCTCTCATTGAATGTATACTGTGTATTTCCCATTCTAGTACACGTGGTCAACTTTTGTACAGTCTGGTAATGAATCTTCTAAATGAGTGTTCCATGGTTTGTTGTGAATTCAATAAAATATCAGAAATCACAAAAGGGATATTTTTATCATATCTTTAGAATTTCTAATGCAGTGTTCAAAGCAGCCGTTTAAATGGAGCTACGTGTGTGTGGTAAGGAGTCTTAAACACACAAACACTTATTACTTAAAATGTTGCAGCTGGCATCAACTGATGTCCAGTGTTATCACAAAGCTCCAGTGGAGAAAAGCATGTGAGCAAATTACAGCTTGCATTAAAAAGAGAAAGGAGATGGCTGGAAAAAATTATCTCATTGAAGTAATGTTATCAAGTAATACAGTGCGATGTGAGGTCAGGGGGGGATCTAGAGAAATATTCATGGAGTGTCCAGAGGGTGGCATGGAGACTGTTTAAGGGTGTGCAGAAGATATATGCTTAAGCTTAATCACAATCATATAGTTTCAATATGTTGCTTAGAATGCCAAGCGAAATGAAGATATTGTGAACATCAAAAAATGACTGCTGTTAACAGTTGTAAGCATTAAATAGAATATCTAAAGGCGTGGCATTAGAAATCAATACATTGTCTTATTTCCAAATCTCAGACTCAGACATTTTTTCAAATACATGTATTATTTAACTGCAGTAGGTATTTTATAAAAATATTTTTCCTCCTAGTGCTCCTAATGGCATTTGCAAGAATCCACCAGTCCTGAATGATTAGGAACACTAGAGTGAAGCAGAGGAAGCTTTTTTTACAGATTAGAAAATTTCAGCATATATGAACAATTTTATAAAAGTTACCTACTGCAGCTTTAAATTTAAATACAAGTTTATAAAGGAAGGAACAAATATATGTATATAACTATCCATGCATTTTAACATTCTAAATCAAATTAAACTGCATGTATTGATAGAAATAAAAAAAATCACACTGGACAAGTTAGGCAATAGACCAAAAAATCGACTTGCAGTACAATTTTACAAAGCTGGTTAACTGAGCAAGCCTGATCTCTGAGTAAAACTTGGAACCTCTTCAAATCTGGAACACGGACTAAATTAAGAAGAGCTGGAACTATTGGTTCGATTTTTATATCGATTCTGAAATCTGTTTGACAGAATTTAGAACTGGGCATTTGGGTTTTTTATTCAAAAACTAAAGCTGGAATGCAGACAGCGAGGCATCCAGAGCTGGATTTTACACTGGAATTTATTGCAACTGATTTGACCTGAAGTCCAGGTTCAAACAAACAATTCAAATAAAAACAAAATCCATCTACAATATCGTACAAACAGTTTAAACATTATCATGCTTCAACAGGATAGCTGACCATTATCAGTGCTACAGCGGGTGTCTTCACCATGTTGGGAGCATTGTGATTACAGGCAAATGTCTTCATTCATTCAATTTGTCAATTCACGTTTTGGCATGTCTGAGGGATTGAGCTCCCCCTGCCTTTGCCAGGCGGCACTTTTTGTTATATTTAATTATAAAGAAATACATTGTGGTATTTAAGCTACTCAGCGCTGCCCCATTTCCTCATTTTTAATTATTGATTTATTTTTAGTCTTTATATTATTATGTTTTTTTTTATGAACTGCTTAAACATAAAGCGGGATTCTGAAACGCACTAAAGCTTTAAGACCATAAATGAACTTGTGAGCCTACATAATGGATCAATCCTAACAAAATTATCAATATATTTTAATAATATTTTTTAAATGATGAACCATACTATGCATCAAATCAAACTGAAATTTTGCAGTTTACCACCAGAGGGCACCAAAGCACTTCTGTAATGACAATCCTCCATCACACATTTAGTGAGGATCTTACAGACTTTATATAAATTGACATTATTATATTAGTATTATCATGAATGTGTGTCATGACATTGGAAAGTGTTTGTCCACTTATGGTCTGGACGATGGAAGTCTAGACAGACCTTGACACACATCACCGCACTCTCTAAAGTGTACAGACTGGTATTTTTTACTGATGAAGATGGCTGGCATTTCCCTTTCATGAGACAAAAAAACCCTAAATTTTCTGGATCATGACCTGGAATTTACCTGCAGAGATATAAATGACAGAACGAGAAGAAAGCATGTGTTAGTCCACTGCTCCAGTGTGGTGGCTACAGGTATTAGATAAGAATTAATATAAACAAATTATTGAATGAAAATAGACTAGTCAGAATACATTTAATGTATAGTGACTATGGAGAGGTCTGTGTGTGTACGCCTTCACCATCTGAAGCCAATCTTTATAATGGGGGGTTTATGCACTGAAACCTTAATGTATTATCAGTTTACCTGAGTGTACATGTGTGGAAGCCTTCTGCATGTTATGTTTCTCCACTCATTTACTGAGGTTTTTCCTTTAATATGTCACCTGTCTGTGTATAACTACTGTATATTTTACATTAAAAAGGTCCAGTGTGTAACATTTAGGAGGCTCTATTGTCAATATAATTCCATAATTATTCAATATAATAATCATAGATATGTTTTCATT